GCTCAGGCAGAAGCAGATATATTTTATTGTAACATTTTCTTCCTCCAGTCTATGGTGATGTCAGCCGGATTTGCAAAGTTCCACCCCAACCTGGTGGTGGGTGGGACGTACTCCGGACAGATTGTCTTATGGGACAACAGGAGCAACAAGCGCACCCCTGTTCAGAGAACTCCCCTGTCTGCAGCTGCACACACAGTAATGCACTGGAGCTCATACACCTTTATGACTACACACACTCACTTAGGGTGCTTTCACACCTGCCCTGTTTGGTTCGGTTTAGTCGAGCTCAAGTGCCCCCTAAGTGAGGTCTGTTTGGGCAGGTGTGAACACAGCAATCGCACTCGGGTGTGCACCAAAACAACCGGACTGAGACCTTCTTGAAGAGGTGGTCTCGGTTCGTTTACAAATGAACTCTCGTGCAGTTCACTTGTGGTGAGAACCTGTTCCGACCTTGATCTGAACCAACTGCAGACGCATTACACGTTGTTGTGTAGTGTACTCTTCTTCAACGTTTTGTTTACTTCCTGGATTTTTCCTGCATGGAAATTCTGACCAGTCAAGACCAGCTTTCTTGCGCAAAGCATTTTACCTGGTCCGCTTGTAAATGCTGCCGTGAGAACACAAACCAACTCTAGGCTATATTTTGAAATTTTGTAACAAACTTAGTCCCTGAGCAAGTCCCTTAGTCCAAAGCAAGACAACTCTACGTCTGAAAGCACCCTTAATTTAAGTTCTTATAACATGATTGACTCAATTTTTCTGCACGGTTACATCTGGCTGACTTCTCCTGGTAAGTGCATGTTGTCTAACTCCTCTGTTTGTGCTCTTCTGTGTTCAGCACCCAGTCTACTGTGTGAATGTGGTGGGAACCCAAAATGCTCACAACCTCATCAGCATTTCCACTGATGGCAAAATGTGCTCTTGGAGCCTCGACATGCTCTCCCAGCCGCAGGTACATTGAACTTGAATGGATGATGCACAGACATGCTGTCATAAATATCAGATGGTGGAGTCTGAGGCCGCATGTTGTTTTCCCTGCAGGACAGTCTGGAGCTGGTGTTCAAACAGAGCAAAGCGGTGGCAGTCACCTCCATGGCCTTTCCTCTGGGGGATGTCAACAACTTTGTGGTGGGGAGTGAGGACGGCTCGGTCTACACAGCCTGTCGCCATGGGAGGTGTGTGATCTGTGACCTCTGTCCTCAGTAGCAACAAGTGTCTTCCTATGGGCAGATTGTTTGTTTTATAACCAGGGAGGAAAGGTGGTAATTAGTTGAAGTCCTCACAGTTGTTTTTATGCGTGTGTTACAGTAAGGCGGGTATCACTGAGGTGTTTGAGGGCCATCATGGTCCTGTGACTGGGCTGAGCTGTCACAGTGCTGGAGGACCTGTTGACTTCTCTCACCTCTTCATCTCCTCGTCTTTTGACTGGACCGTCAAACTCTGGAGCACAAAGGTGAGACATTTACAGTCACACACAAGCTATTGAACAATTAGTTATTTCTTAAAATGAGTCAATTTTTCCCTTTGTTCTTCTGTACAGAGTACCCGTCCATTGTACTCGTTTGAGGACAGTTGTGATTATGTCTATGATGCCATGTGGTCTCCGACACACCCTGCTCTGTTTGCTTGTGTGGATCTAGCTGGACGCCTGGACCTGTGGAACCTTAATAATGATACGGAAGTATGCAAACACACAATGCACTGAAACCTAAAACCTTAATTCCACTTTCACATTCAGGGAAATTTGCTTTTCTGACCTCTTGCCAAGATTTGGATGTGATGGTCGACACCACCCAGCAAGCATTTTCTGGTTTAAAAAACGTCTAATAGCTTTCTACATGAAGACCTGACGTCTAGGCTAAATCACGTGTAGACGTCATCAATTATACGGCTATGTAGAGACCATGTCCAAAAAATGGAGATAAACATATTTTAATTACTGTTGACTCTTCATACGTGATTGAATATCATACCGCAAGCCATCTGCAATGGCGAAAATTACATTTAATCAATTTCAAAATGAAATCGGCTAGATTTGGGTTACATGTAGCTAGACTAAATCAGAGCTAAACATAGCCAATAAATTTAAATCACGACTATTGCTTGCTGGGCACAATGAGGCCTGTAAAGTAAATATGTAGGTAGAGCCAGGAGGTGGTTAGCTTAAAAGGTGACTTTGGTATTTTTTAACCTGGACCTTATTTCCCCATGTTGTTGTGCTCAAGTGACTCATAGGGGCAAAAGTTCTTGAAAATGGTCCAGTATTTTTTTTTTTTTAAAGAAAAAAAAAAAGAAAATGGTCCAGTATTTAGTGAGATGGCTGCTGCTGGCAGCGGCAAAACAGCCTGCAGTGTGACCACTCAAAACATGTTCGCACCATCAGTGTAAGACCACTAAAAGTTCTTGTTTTTGTCACTGACAGGCTCAGATTGTTTTAAGTGTCTCACAACATTATGGAAAGGATCCCTACTGTCATAGACCGTTTTGTTAAGAGTAAGATCCTTTTTGTTTAGCTCGTTAAAGCCTCAAAAGAACTATCACCAAACCCACCAGATCCCATTTAAATAAGCAGTAATTTTACTATCATAAAACACACTTGAAGTCGACAGAAAGAAAATAAAACTCATATAAACCATCCTGGTTCTTCTTTCCACTGTTCCAATTATCACTAACTCTAGTTTGGTTGAAAAAAATAAAACCTTTAATTCACCCAGTTGGAGGTGAAAATGTGCTGGCTCTATACATGCTGAAATGAGTGTTTATTCAAATGGAGTCTGGTGGGTTTGCTGATAGCAATTTCAGGCTGTTTCTGGTTAAACAAAAAGGATCTTACTCTTTAACAAAAGGCTCAGTCTCTGTAAGGATCCTTTCCATAATGTTATTGCACACTTAGAACAATAATTTGAGCCTGTCAGTGACAAAAACAAGAACTTTTAGTGGTCTTACACTGATGGTGCGAACATGTTTTGAGTATATATATTGATGTGTATATTGATATTGATGTGTGAACTGCCCCAAGTAGTTACATTGCAGCCTGTTGTGCTGCCGCCCTCTCATTCAGTACTGGACCATTTAAAAAAAACTGCTATTCCCATTAGTCACTGTGACACACAAACATTGGAAAAATAGGGTCCAGGTTGAACAACACTGAGGTTAGCCTTTAATTTAGCACCAAGACAGTCTTCAAGTACAGCTAAATCATACCATTGTGAGCTTAATCCCTGATGTTATTCCATGCGCCACATGAACATGTTGTAGTCTTATAATGGGAATGCTGCTGACTGAGAATGTGCTTCTCCTGGTGTGTGTTTTTAGGTTCCCACTGCCAGTGTGTTTGTGGAGGGGGCTCCAGCACTGAACCGTGTGAGATGGGCTCACTCTGGCAAAGAGATTGCCACCGGGGACTCGGAGGGACAGGTGCAGGTCTACGACGTAGGGGAGGTGAGAGGTCATCCCTTGATTATGCTTTGGTTATTTCCATGTGGGATTGAATTACTTACTACTTCAGTACATACATCTTCTGATACTTTTTTGGTGTCACTCTCTTCAACTCTTTCTGTACATACTGATTATATGCATTGTCCTCTGCAGCAAATCTGCGTGCCTAAGGCTGATGAGTGGACGCGCTTCGTCAGGACACTGGCTGAGATCAATGAGAACCGAGATGAAGCGGAGGAACTGGCCAACGTCTGATGTCACAATCCCCCACACTGCTAATACATTTCTGTCCAGTACACTACACCACCTATAGCACACTACACGACACTGCCGGAGGAGCAGCGCTCTCCTCTCTCTGGCTTCCAGCTTTTCCACCTACTACAACATGAATTGGCCTGAGGAGATTTGCAGAGCTAGAATGGATAGGAAAGAGTTTTAGACAAGTTTTAGATGTGTTTTTAAATGTGTCTTTAAGGGTTTTAGAGTACACTAGTAGGGAGATGAATGTCATGTGTAGCAGTAGTAGAAGAGAAACCACAGTGACGTGGTTTAAAGTTGAACTGACGGGAGTACAGGGAAGTGACGTGAAGCATAGATGCGACTTATAGCTTGGATAACATCCTCAGGGCTCCAGAAACTGCTCTTCTCCTGAGGCCTCAACCAACTCAGCCCTTTTTTAAATATGCAAACCTTTGTACTTGCACCTTTTTATTACCATTTGAGTGTTTTTACATGTTTTAATATTTTCCAGACGCACTTGTGCACACGGCAGAGAGAAGTAGGAAAAGCTGACACATCACAATCAGATCCTCTTAATTCTCAGCAGCACTTGAATTTGATGACTAAAACAGCTGATGTGCTCTCACATGCACACTCTGGCCTGTGCAGGAGTGTGTCATTCTTACATTTCAACCACTACGATATTTAATATTTATTCTGGTGGTTGCACTTATTTAAATATTTTGTGTATCGTTTTAAAAAAAAATGCTGCTTTGTACTAAAAGCTTGAGTAATACATTCCTAAGATAAGCACTACAAGCTTTTTAACCAGGCAAAATCTGTTAGTGTACTTGCCTTGGATTTCTTGACATTAGTACAGTTTAAAAGTGATTTCTGTACCAAAGGTTATTGTTTTATACTCTGTACCTGTGTAATGAGTAGTCGAAACAGTTACCTGACACGTCCTCTTTATGAGGATCTAAGTAAACTACATGAAGTTTTAAATGGGGGTGTAAAGCTGAGGTTGGAAATTAGTTTTTAACGCAGAACATTAATTCATTTTCATTATTTTCCTTTTCCATCCAATGTTTGATTCCTTCCAGGATGCAGCAGTCCAACCTCAGCATGATAAATTTCAGCTTCAGACGCTTTCTCTTAAATGTTTAAAATGAGCTAAAAAAACACAAAAAAAACCAAAACACTGTAGCAACCATATTTGATATAACATGAACAAGATCAGTATTCTGCATAGACTAATTGTACTGTATACTTTCCTGTTACTGTTCCTCATACAGTTAATGGTTGCACTTTTCCATTGGAATAAAACTCAAAAGACCTATTGGTAAAATTAAAACCATATGGATGATTTATTTCAATAAAATACAATGACTGAATTGAGATACATTTAATTTATTAATATCTAATTCTCTTCTCATGATTCTTGTTTTATCAAGAAAACACTTAATTGAAAAGTTCTGTACATCAGTAAGAGTGATTCTCAGAGACCAGGACCAAAGGCCCCACATTGCCATAACATTACAGTTACTGTATAATGGTGCCGAATGAACGTTACGGAGCTTCGCCTTGTAACATTTTCCTTCCTGTCAATGTGCTGTCTCGGTACAGTTTTACAATATGTACAGTATGCTGCCCCCTGTGTGAGGACCAACCATAGTGAAGCCCCACACACCATGCTGACCAATCTAATATTTCCTATGCCCGCTGTCCAATAAGAGAAGTCCTACTCGCACTGAGTATCAGACAGAAAACAGAATAAAAATCAAATCAGCTACTCATGAGAGAGAGAGGAGTGCCGGAGGCTCCGTTTTATACCAATGCTGGAGAGAAGAACACAAAAGATGGAGGTTCCAGGAGCGTACAGCCACTGAAGATACGACACAGTCAGCACTCTGGTCCCGCTGTCTGCTCCGTTACGTCCTCAGCTGCAGCCAGGTCTCCTTCTCTGGCTGGGGACCAGTGGAGCTCACCTTCACCCTGGTGTTTGTTCCTAAATTCGCGCCCCCCCTATTCATGGAGTGTATTTTAGCTCTGTGTGTGTGCGTGTTTTATTTGTGTATCTATCTAAGTGTCTGGCTCCTGGTAGAGGAGAGGGATGATGGCAAAGTGATATGGAGATTCAGACCCTTTATGGGGCCTGAGCCGGCGTGGCAACGACTGGCTCTGGGAGATGTATGGAAGCCACGCCGGAGGACTTGAATTTGGGGAGGTGGAGGCCAAATTTGTTCTCCACACCGGCAAAGGTAGCCGCAGCCAGGCGGTAGCCTCCAACATGGTCGGCGTTGATGGGAGGAAGCTCTGAGATGCGTGACTTGGGAGTGGGCTCAGATCCTGACGGACGACTGCAGAGAGAAAAGGGGGACGGGAGTGATCATTACACAAACATAAGGGCATTTCTAATATAGAAAGGAAGGGAAAACATGTTTTTAGCATTTATAGTTATATAAGCCACCATAGTTCTCCTACTTGCTTGGCACATGGGAGAAGTTTCAGCAGACACCACTACAAATACTAAATCCTTAACAATAATGAATTTACTCATTGTCCCCAAAGTGTGTTCTGTGGTAAAGTTTGAAGAACAGCTTTACTAAATCAGCACATTGCCTGTTATCTCCAGCTTGGTGTAGGTATTATTGTGCACTTATCACTGAAACAGGAACCTGTTCTTGTTTAAATCTGCTCAGCTTCCAGTATCTTTTACCAATGACTGGTCATTTCTTCTATAGAGAACATGAAGCTGAGCCAAGCTGGGTTAATTTATTCAAGAGGGACACCATCTTGTGAGGATCCCTCTGTGTTTCCCGTTTGCCTGCTACAGAGGATCAAGCAACAGTATTTGGAATGAGAAATTATAAATGCACTGCACTTGTATAGCACCTTTCTAGTCTTCCAACCACTAAAGGTGCTTTTACACTACATCACAGGCTGTCATACATGTTGCCACCTGCTACTCAGTAACCATTCACATGCGCTTACACTGATGGAACAGCCATCGGGAGCTATTTGAGATGCAGCATCTTGCCCAAGGATACTCTGACATGCAGACTGGACTGCCACAGCAACAATGCACTACCTCCACTCATACCCAGACACTGTAAATTATCTTGTTTTTGGGCTAAGTGCATACACTTTGATAACAGATAACAGAGTGCTAATCTCACAAGATGGCACACCCATCCCACACAGTGTGAAGCATATAAGAACATTCTGCTCTTATATCACTGTTGCACAGAGTTATCTTTGTCTCTTTGTGCCTCGTCAGTCTGGTTGAACCACTTTACAGTGTTTTGTTCTTCATGTACAAACATGACAACCTAAAAAGGGTAAGCGTATAGTCAGCCATGTGACTGCACCAAATCAAGCTTCTGTGGCAGGTGAGTCCAAACGTTTGACCGGCAGTGCATATTTGCATATCTTTAGTGCAACAGGTATCATCTTATCATGTCATCAAGTGGAATGTGATTCATCTACTAACAAAACAAATCACATGCTAACAAAATGTCATTTGGTAAACCGTTAAGTAGGGGGAGACAAATATGAGGACAGGTACTTCAAATTATTTTTTAACAGAAATTTAAAAGAAATGGAAAGAAAAATATGGCATCAAGAGGCAGTTGCGGAGTTTTATTTCCTGCCTCTGAAGCTGAATGTTCTGTATTTCCATACTGGCCATGAATCCCAAAAGTGCATCCTCACATGCTTCCCCAGCCTCCCTCCCTGTCTGCTTTACAGCTGCCCAAGTTGGACCAAAAAGGGCTACAAAAGGGACTAAACAGCACCTTTAAACAAAAAAAGATTGACTTACTGTCCTCCAAAGTCAATGTAGAACCACCGCTGTAGGAGCTCATAAGTCACCAGAGTCACACCAAACTGAGGAGAGGACCGGCACATACGAGCTGGAGAAAAGAGACACACAATACAAATACAACATGGTTTTGAAATAAATAAAACATCTGAGACACACACTGGATCTCTGCATTCAGGAGTACACACACACCTCCAGCTCCCTTCCACAAAGCCCTGAACCCTTCCTCTCTCATGATCTTCCTGAAGCAATCGATGACTCCTGAGTAAGTGGTCTGTCCTGCCCTCGCAGCAACTTGCAGACGCGTCTTGATGACATCAGCAGGCGTTACAAGGGAGGCTGCAGGGATACCTGAGGGACAGAGTTACAAAGAAGTCAGACGGCGCATGTTTGTCAGTTGAATGGTATTCATTTCCCTTATGCACAGTGCAGCTACAGCGATGGCATACTGCTTCTGCTGTTCTAGGTCATAATCTGAGGTTACCTGCTATTGCTCCAGCGGTGAGAAGCTGCAAAGGTCCCAGCCTGCCCTGCTCATCAGCAAACGAGGTCTTGAGGTGGGCATATGCTGGGAAATAGATGGCAGAGAAGGGGATGTCTCTCAGGAAACAAGCTTTAGCACCCTGGAGAGAGACACAAAGAGCAGACAGACGTATGAGACTGCGCTCGAGAACAGACAATGAAAGAGTGTGAGGCAAAGAAAGAGTGCATACATACCAGACAGACTGAACTTTAGTGGTAATTTTAGTATTTTTCAACCATGACCATATTTTCCCAAGTTTTGCATCTAAATGACTAAAAGAATTAAGTTTTTGAAGTAGTCCAGTATCGAGCAAGAGTGCTCTAGCTGGCAGCCGCTGAGCAGCCTGCTATGTTACCACTAATAATAACTAATAATGCATGTTCAATTTACATCCACTGAAGGTGCTTATTTTCTCACTGACAGAATCAGATTGTTATTCTAAGTGTCTGACACCTTTATGGAATGGATCCCTACAGAGATAGACCTTTTTGTTTAAGAGTAAGATCTCTTTTGTTTAACCAGAAACAGCCGCAATATCACTATTGCCAAAGCCACCAGACTACATTTAAATAGAGTGATTTTAGCGATGTAAAACACACTTCATTCACAGTCTACAGAAACAAAATAAAACTCACAAAAAAAGTCTAGGTTCGTCTTTCTACTATACAAACAATCACCAACTCTGGTTTGGTTAAAATAAACCTTTAATTGACCCAGTTAGATGTGAATAATATGCTGGCTCTATACACGCCAATATTACTCATTATTTCAATGGAGTCTGGTGGGTTTGGTGACAGCGATTTTGGGGCTGATTCTGGGTTAAAAAAAGGATCTTACTCTTTGACAAACGTAAGTAACCCTTTAAATAGGAATCTTTCTCCAACCATTCATACAACCATCTGTGGTGTATTCAAAGACACGTTACCTTGTAGAGGCCGAAGAAGCCCAGGTCACGAACCACGCTCACTGCGCTGACTCGAGGTCCGGTGGTGATCTCGCCTGCCACCTGCAGGCGGATCTTCACAATCTCCAGAGGGTTGGTGAAGATCACCTGAGAGCCTCCAGCCTGGAGAGATGGGGAGAGGACGAGCTTGTTGATACATTTACATAAAAAAAAAAGGATCACTGCTCATGCATCTTACATGTACGTAGCTGAGGAATGGGATCCAAGTCTTGAACATGAAAGTATGAAAAGTAACAATTAACCTGGATTAATTATTTGCTTTGCCATTTCCTGAGACATTAAATTGTGCTAGGCCAATGAGAGTAAGGATGAACAATGCTGGCAAAAACAGAAAATAGTGGCATTGTGTGGTAACAGTTTAACTCTGGATGTAATTAATTATTACTGCATGCTTGAGTTACTTTTTAATGGCCTTCACAACTAAGGAGACACACGCCCTCGAGTGACTGGATGCATTTCTTTTCATCTAGTGTTCATTTAAACAAACAGATAGGCAGGATAAAAGGGTGTTTGGGACAGTGTACTTACACAACCACCGGCTAAAACCTCAGCAATAAAAGGAATCGTGTCATCCTTGCTCATGAACTTGTCCCTTACAAAGTCATTCACCTGCGGGACACAAACACAGGCAAAGACAATTCAGGTTAATGCTCATTACCACTGCAACATAACATGTGTGTGTGCTAAGTAAACATAGAGTCAAGGAGGATTATGTGTTGTGTATGTGAACAGGGGTACTCACTGTGAGTTTGATAGCCTTCTCAGGCGCCACACCTATAAGCTGAGGGACCAGACCTGCAGGGCATCATGGGAGACTGATTAACAGGAGAATCTAATTTCATAAGTATTGCCGGACGAACAGTTATAAAAGGAGATATCAAACAGAAATAAGAAGATGGAAAATAAGACATGAGATCAAGACTGAAAGAAACACACGGAGCTTTTACTGATGATCTGAGAGATTAGGAAGCTAAAGATAGGAAAGGAAAATTTGATCACAATAGGGGTGGAAAGCTGATGATGGCTGCACTCGTTGTGTTGCTGTGTATGAAACACTTGTGTGACAGCTTACGTAAAACAAAGGATTGGATTGAGCTCTATATAGCTAAAAATAGCCAATCCTGATGTGTAAAAAATGCCTTGATTGGCCCGACACCGATCAAATCAGGACAAGCCTATGCTGAAGGCTTCTTCAACAAGCTAACTGCAATTTCAAGACAACATATGTGTTCAAGACATAACTGGCATGGTGAGAAAAAATATCATAAAGTGGAGAAAGATGAAACACGACAAAATGAAAGCCAGGACACTAAACCCCAAATCACTGGCGTTGTGACTGCAGACAGGGAATAACAAAGGTGCCTTTCTGGCCTACCTCTATAGAAGCCGAAGAAGCCCTCGTAGCGAAGCACCTTCTTAGCACAGTCAAAGCTGTTCTTGTACATCAGCTCTCCAACAAAGGATCCTGTGGACCTCTGGTTCTGCATACGAGTCTTCACCAGGTCAATAGGGTACACTGCTGTCGCTCCCGTAGCTGTGTAAAACGCACACAAATTAGATATATTAGATGCTGCAGTGCGACTAAGCATCAGACAGCCATGTGTCTCTGGCCACAGGATAACTCACCTCCAGCGATGGAGCCCAGGGTAAACCTGTAGGCCGACTCTGCAATCTGGAGCCACACAGGCCTGGAACTATCCCCATGGGCCTGATGGGAAAATCACATACAAGACCACAAATGTCAATGATGCCAAAACTGCAAATAGTTTGTGGTGTAAATGTACAATGTGTGTTATGTATCATAAGTAGCTCTGGTGTTTAAAGATATTTTACAGGCAGATGGTGAAACACTGGTCAGTGAGTAGTTGTACACAAAGATCCCTCAGCATCCTACCTGTTTTTGGGTTTCAGCCAGGTGGTAGGGCAGACATCCTTCCTCTAACGGAGCTATCCTCTCAATGTCAGAAAGATTCAGGCGCCTGATACACAGATATTTACATCCTGTTGCTTACTGTCATTATACAGATCATAATATTCACCAGGAAATATCAGTAAAGAAGAGAAGTCTGAGTTAAATTTTAGGATTTGGGTCTGACCGACTCTCTCACAGACTTTAACTGAGTATCAGAGTAAGTGCTTACCCAGAGGGGGAGTGCAGGCCTGACAGCTGATACAGGATGTCAATTTCCATGGGAGTAATCTGACCGAACTTGTTGGCAGCATGAACAAACTCCTCTGCAAAGACACAGAGATAAGAGAATTTTTTAAATAGTGACATGGACATTCCTGACACACTCATGCAACGTCTTGAGCTGCAAGTCAAAGACACAGCATCACAGTAATGTAACAGTTTGTGCACCTTTGGTCACGAGTGTGTCCTTCCGCGTGCCAGCCAGTGTGCTATAGATCTTGCGAATCAGCTCCATGTTGTTCAGGAGGGAGTTGAAGGCGTTGAAGTACGAGAAGCTGACCAGGTGAGAGGTGCTTCCACCTGCAGCCTGGCAGAGGAAGGACATGTTAGGTACTGCTTTTTTCTTTTTTTTTTTAATATTTAACTCTTAATGAGATGGAAAACATATTGCTCAATGCTGTGTTATGTAAATTAAAACTGTAACTGAGTAACTCTACTCCTAAAGTCATCATATTGTATTCTTAGAATTTGTAATTTGTGTCCATGTTTTTCTGACCAAGTGACTAATGGGAACAACAGTTTTTGAAACTGGGCCAGTATTGAGCAAGAGGGCTGCTGCTGGCAGCGACGAAACAGGCTGTAGTGTAACCACTTGGGTGATTTGGCACAGTCAATGTACGTCCACTAAAAGTGCTTGTTTTTGCCACTGACAGGCATGTATTGTTATTTCACGCATCTGACAATTTATGGACAGTATTCTTATGGAGACAGACCTGAAGACCCTTTTTGTTTAATCAGAAACAGCTCTGAAATCACCACCACCATACCCACCAGACTCCATTTATATAAACAGTAATTTTATCATCGTAAAACACACCTCATTCAAAGTCGACAGAAACAAAATAAAACTTGCGAAACCGGCTTGGTTCATCTTTCCACTGGTTCAGCAATCACAAACTCTGGTTTGGTTAAAACAAACATTTAATTCACCCAGTTAGATGTAAAAATATGCCAGCTCTACACACGCTATAATCACTGTAAGTTTAAATGGAGTCTGGTGGGTTTGGTGATGGTGGTTTCAGGGCTGTTTCTGGTCAAACAAAAAAGGATCTTACTCTTAAACAAAAAGGTCTGTGACTATGGGGAAGCTTTCCATAATGTTGTCAGACACTTCTTTCTGTCAGCGGCAAAAAAAGGATTTTTAATGGACGTAAACTGACGGGCAAACACACCCTGTGTCATTACACTGCAGCCTGTTTTGCTGCTGCTAGCTGCAGTGCTCTCGCTCAATTCTGGACCAATTTCAAATACCTTTGTTCCCATTAATCACTTAGACACAAAAGGTTGAAAAATACATAACTGAGTCTTTAATAATTCATCTCTTGGCAGTGAGGAAAACAAATTTATAACACAAAAATACATTCCTAACTCAGGGTAGCACCTCAGTGTTAACCACCACAACTGACCCCGTCAACAAGTGTTGGAGATCATAGTGGGAATTTATCTAAACACCTATCGCAAGAAAACACTGAGGAGCCTGAGCAAATGACCAGTATGCTTTAAGGCTAATAACCACAGCTGCAAAGCGGATGAGGATTTACATCTGCTGAGCGTGTATACTTACATAACCTCAAAGGTCAGAGTGGATTATATTGCCACTAGCCAGTGATCAAAACATCAGTATTGTTCTCATGGTTTGCAGCAAATTAAAAAAATTATGTCCCTGTTCTCCTTGATATATTCACAGTTTGCTGCTCCACAAATTGGGAGATGCTGTACCCTAGTAAAAACTGAAATGACTAGGCTTCCAGCTATGAAAATTAATTTAGAGCTGTGGTTCTCTGAAAATAACACTCATCCTCCAGTCAATCAGAACGGGATATTCCCAGTGTTCTCAGCTCTTCATGCACACACAAACACTCACAGAGACGAGGTTCTCCTCCACAAAAGGTGTGAGCATGTGGTGTCTGATGGTGGCCATAATGTCACTGAAGTCCATGGCGGTGATGACGCCATTCTTCCCTTTGTCTTTCTGGGCGAATGCCTGACGTGCATGCTCCAACTGCAGCTCCTAAGAACATGACACCACAAGGCTGAGTGTAAATACAGAGTACTGTTAAACTTAAGGAAGGAGAGATAGAGTGAAAAAATAGAGAAATTAGAAAAACTGATCAGTGTGAGTGTGTGTAATCGGCACACCTGCAGGAACTGGGTGAACTCGAGGTAGCTGAGGTGTTTCTTGCGGTCGTGCCCAAAGTGCAGACGGATGAACTCGCAGTCCCAGTTGAAGGGAATGTGGTGGTGCACTGTGGTCTGGCTGAAGATGTCCCGCACATTCTCTGCAGCACAAGTACACATTCAAACAAGGAATCAATCTTTGGGACAATTTCAATAAACAACAGTTAAGTCATTCAAATGCCGTAACACAAAGCTTTGTATGTGTGATTTAAGAAAGTAGGTAGAGGCAGGAAGGAAAGCGGAACGAGTGCGTGAGAGCTATTATGTAAGTCTATCCATGTGTAATATCTTAGACTGAGGAGTAATCTGGTTAACAATGCCATGTTAGGAAATTCTTTCTCCACGTTGCACTGCAGGAAAACTTTATGAATGCTCTGATGACACAGCACACAAACACGTCAGGGATGGATTCAGTGCTACTGCAATTTAACTGGAAAATTTCCTCCAAAAACTGACGATGAAAATATTCCACACAGTGTAAAGTGAGAGATTTAAATTGTAATTCTTTGTATTCATTGAAATCATGTGAACAGAAGTCAAAGTGGAAACACAGGAAACACATTGACTCGTACCAAAGGAAATGTTTCCAGTTCCATTCTTGTCAAACAGCTGGAAGGCGACTATGAAGAGAGTGTCAGGCGCACACAACACCGATTCGAATGCAAGAAACTCCTGGAAAGAGATCAGCCTGCATATGTGGTGTAAAAGAAAACACACATACATATTGTTAAAACAAATACATCACAGACTTTGAAATAAAGCAAAGATCAGATCATATTGTATTTCTTAAAGGAGCAGTTCAGGTGTAGTAGTTGGTATTTTTCAACCTGGACCCTATTTCCCATGTTTTTGTGTCAAATAGACAATTTTCTTTTGGTCTAGTGTTAAGCGATGTGCTGCAGATGACAGCTATCTCTCAGCTGCTTTCAATTTACATGCATTTAAAGTGCCTGTTTTTGCCACTGACAGGCTCAGATCATTATTTTAAGTGTCTGGAAAGAATCCCTACAGAGAGAAAACGTTTTGTTTAACAGGAAACAGCCCCAACATCTTTATCGCCAATTCCACCAGACTCCATCTGAATTAACCGTAATTTTATCACCGTAAAACAACTTCATTCAAAGTGGACAGAAACAAAATAAAACTTGTGTAAACCGTCTTGGTTCACCTTCAATAACAAACTCTGGTTTGGTTAAAATAAACCCTTAATTCACCCAGTTAGATGTGAAAATACGCTGGCTCTATACACACTAAATTTACTGTTTATTTCAATGGAGTGTGGTGCAATTGGTGATAGCAATTTCGGGGCTGCTTTTCATTTAACAAAAAAGGATTTCACTCTTAAAAAAGGTCTACCTTTGTAAGGATTCCTTCCACAATGTTGTCAGACATTTAAAACAATAATCTGAGCCAGTCAGTGGCAAAAACAAACACTTTTGTTGGACGTAAATTGAGGGTGTGGACATGCCCCAGGTGATTTCACTGCAGCCTGTTTCACGGCTGCTAGCTGCAGTGCTCTCTCTCAATACTGGAGCAATTTCAAACATTGTCGTTCCCATTAGCCATTAAGACACAAACACATGGGAAAATAGGATCCCAGGTGAAAAATACTGGACTCTCCCTTTAACTGAAAGGCCAGACAACAAATGAATTACGACTGACTTTCAGTTCTGGATAAATTGTCACTAAGGTTTCCTGAACACATCCGAGCACTTGGTCACTTGATCAGTGGAGTGTGTGTGTAATTTGTGCGCACATAACAGCATGCACAGAGTTTTATCTTATCTGTAAGTGGTAATAATAGCAAGTGCTGATCAGCTTGGCTCAATAAAATGTCAATTAGTATTGATAAGCTGCGTGTAAGCATGTGTGTGTGCATGCATAGTACGTACCCGTCCTTTGTGGTGTCAGCAACAGCAGCAATGAGCTGGACAGTTTTGGGGTTGTGGTGGATCTGCGTGTGAAGTCCTAGATACCTCTGGACAAAGTCTCCTGGGGTCATGAACTTCTCGCCATCCTTGTCCACAACACTGGCATACTGGGAAGAGAAAGATAAAACGACATCAGTGTGGATACCTAAACGTTCGCAGGCGCCAACTTCTTTTCCCTCAACCCTAAGTGAACTACTTGACAGTGACTGAATTATTCATCGTCATGCAATTTATCCAGTCTACAGAGTAAACTGCTTGTACACCTCCAGTTATCTCTGTAAATGGTGTGCAACCTTTATATAACCTAGAGTATATCCTTCTCACTTCTCATTAATGGCTTTGGTGACCCTCACAGTGCCCTAGCTAATGACCTGTTGGGTCAGTGTTCAGAGGCATGAGTGTGGAGCATGACAAGAATATGGCTCTGAGTGAACCACAGGTCACAAGCTTTGACTATTGAACACTATAAAAGGTTGCATGTGCTACTACTACACTACACTATACTGACTTCGCCTTTCTTTCTTTAACATTCTTACAGATGCAAACTATTGACAACAGCGTTCAAACAGAATTATTTTGAGGTTACTGGCTCACGAAAACATCAGCTCTGTCACTGGTCTTTTAAGCTCTGCTGGCGATTCATGCAGCACATGAAGGTCATCAATCTTGCTGTGGTGGCACGACATGTCCGAAGTACACTGGCCCACACTGAGCACGCATGAGCAGGGAAATGTGCACTGATGTTTTTAGCTTGAGCTGGTAAGCTATTTGGCCTTTGTAAATCAGGGTACTGACAACTGCTGGCCCACACAGAGGGCAACACAGTCACCTCACGGCACACAGTAGAGCAAAGTAAAGGTTATCCAAATCCACTCAAGGTACTGATTACATCTTGTGTTTCTACACAGATCGGCCTGCCTTCATATTAGTGTTGTCACGATACCAAAATCTTTGTTTCGGTACCAATACCAATATGAATTTTGATACTTTTCGATACTCTTCAGTACTTTTCCTAAGAAAAAGTCCTTCTGGATACAAACCT